GGCTTGGGGTGGGTCGTGGGAGGAAGCTTGGTGGAGCGGATTGGACTGTAATGTTTCGTGGTGATGTACGTGGGAATGCGGATGGCGGCTGGTGTGGCAGTTTATTTTCTGGCTCTGACGGCTGTTGGTCATCGCGTCTCGATGTGTATCGTGGCTGGGGCCTGGTATATGGCGACATCGATAGTGCGTGCGCGATGGGTGGTGGTGGTGGTGTGTGATGGTCGGTGGTGGTGGTGGTGGTGATGGTGGGTGTGGTGGTGGGGTGTGGTGGTGGGCTTGTTGGTGGTGGTGGTGGTTGTGTGGTGGTGTGGATGGTGTGGTGGTTGTGGTGGTGTGGTGGTGGGTGGTGTGGTGGATGTGGTGGTGTTGGTGGATGGATGGTGGATGGGTGGGATAGTTTTTGGCGATGCTGAGCAATTTAGCAAGGCGAGATAGATCTGGCGTGTATCGCTTTCGCGGTTGGCTGGATGGTCAGTGTAGGAATATTGGTCATTGGGGAGGATTGCTTTCAGTGGCTGATCGATGCTAGCTGGCTTAGTGTCCATTGCGGTCTTCTCTATTGGTTCGCTCGTGCTCTCGGTTTTTGCGCTTTGTAGATTCTTCTAGCGTGCTGCTCGCGTCGCTGCAAGTGCGCCTCGCTACCAATGCGCGTCTTGGTGAGACTGTTGGATGATTGGATGAGAGGTATTGGTGATAGGATGGTATTGATTTGTGTTGGGGTATTTGGTGTGAATTGGATTAGTATGCGCCTCTTCTATGAGTTCGATCGCTTGCCTGGGTGGATGTAGCATAAGTGCAGCGAATATACATATACGTAGTAGACTCAAATTGCCTACGCAGATCAAAATTTCAGTGGTGGGTGGAATGATGGTGGGGTGTGGTGTGGTGGGGTGGTGGGTGAATAGAGTGGATGGGGTGGAGGTGGTGGAATGGTGGTGGCGTGGTGGTGGGGTGTGTGGTTGGATGGTGGTGCGGGGGTGGTGGTGTTGGTTGGGGTGATGGTGGTGAGGGTGTTGGGTGGGGAGGACAGAGTGAGTGAGGCAGGTGGAACACATGACAGGCCGTAGGACGCACACGTCCTCAGAGACACGCACGCACACACGCGCGTACATACGTGTGCATACAGGCGCACGCACGTACACATGCACACATTCACGCACGCCCACACGGCTCGGCTCCGCACTGACGGCCATTCTGGGCACGCATTGAGATGAGGCGTTTAGCATACGCGGTCTCGCACACACGTCTGTCTCATTTTGTTCAGTTTGCATTAGCAAAACTGCTAGCAGGTGGTAATGCGGAAAAATTAAATTTAGGTTTGCGAATTAAATGAGGGAAATTGTTATGTGTACGCGGGGATGCGAAGAGGCTCTAGTGATGAAGTCTTTGACTGAATCCTACGGCGTACACCGCCTCCCTAATTCAATAGTTAGTTAGCAACTAAATACATTATTTCCGCGCCATGGGTGCATAATGGAACCACAATTTCAAACGCAGTGCGCGTTGCATTTACATTTTATTTTAACCAAGTCACTTGATCTTAGCCGACGGAATCTAGTATTACTGAAAATCCTGCTAGTAAGCATTTTATGCTATCTCTCTCTTTCTCTCTCTCTCTTCGAAACCCAAGACATCGAATGCTGGTTATGAGTTAGAAGCATCCTTAGACAAAGAGCAACACTGTACCAATAAATGAATTATTACAGCACGTGCGAACGGAGTAGCTGGTTTTATAGACAATTGAGTTGAAGCAGCTAGGCGAGAACGCTCGTAGCGAGCATCTCTGACTGCTTTTCCTCCAAAAAGATGGCGCAATATGCAGCGAGCATCATGAAATAGAACAGACTATACCGTTAAACCGTTGATTTAGAGGATATTGTACATTTTTCCATCGCTTACAATGTAAAAAGTGGGTAGATTACGGTAGTGTTAACGTTAGGATATGGTTTGGGTTAGCTTAATCCTTAGGGTTACCCGTAAACGACAGGCGTTGGCTATGGTCGACAGACAAGGCGCGTCCTTTGTCCAAGAGGAATATTTATTATAGATCACGCCATTTATATTTTATTCACGTACACGGACACCTCCCCTGTCTTCCCCACGGCCCCACGCAGACATATAACTTTCCGCGAGATTGTCGCTCCGAGAGAAACCTCTACGTAACTAGCGATGGCGGGCTTGTGGCGTATTCTTGCCGCGCTCATCTAGCACACTCTTCTCTGGCTCCATCCTCCTAGCTTATACCCCGTACCGACTACGAATTTGATATGGTATTAAACTAGCGCGCGTCTGACGCGCGCTACATATTGCAGTGTGTACACGCTATCCCGATCCAAATACGCGCTGGCCAGCTCCAAGTTAGACCCGCAAATGAAGCAGGGCTAACTTAGTCCGGACTAAGTTATCCCGCTTTAAGCTGTGTCTGTACGCAATCCGGTGCCTAGCGCGCGCTATGTTTCGCAATGCGCATGCGCATAGCCTTATGTAGGTCACGTAATTGTACAATTGCTGTCTGCGGGGTGACGTGGCGAGCAAGGAACTGAGCGATGGGAGAACTGATGACTCATTTAAAGTAGGGTCAAATATGCAGTCTAAAATTCGTAGTCTGTACGGGGTATTATTTGCAGCATGCCCGACGTCCCGCAAGGACGGCAAGCCGTGGATAAATGCTGGGAGGATCGCGCGCCTCATAGAAATTATACTAGTTAGACTGTATATTTCTGTCTCTATATATTTTTATGCTGCGCCTGCACATTTGTTCGTACGATCTCGCGAGAAAGTTCTTTTACCTTCTTGCCCGCTCCCTATTTACGAATACTCTCTCCTGTTACATATGCAGGGGCGTAGATAGCGGGGGGGATGGGGGGGATGCATCCCCCCCACTTATTGACGTGGGGGGGATGGCGTGTACAATCATCCCCCCCTACTTTCAGGAGGAAAATGGGGGATTCAACATTTTCTGGGGGAGGACCCGCATACCCCCGCATG